CCGTGCATTTAGGCCGCGGCCTATACAATAGATGTCCTTGTTTATCCTGTAAGATAAACACATCTACCGTATAGGTCGCGGACTAAGTGCACGGTGTAAACGTAGCCAATGTCTTTCCGAACGCACCTATAATATACGAATACGGTCATGATCTCACCTATCTTCTTCCATCATGATTCGTGGAGTCGTGGGACGAATGCGTCGCAACTCGCAAGCAGTCGCTAGTAAGTCGTCTCACCTGATAAGATCTTATTTAGGTCTCTTAATTCTAACCGAATCGACTCCGAAGACAGAGTTAAGGCCATTTTATCTCGAAAAAGAAAAGATTTGATTCAACATACACTTTGCTCTTGTCGTTTCTTCATGTTCGTTTAATATTCTCAACGGAACGTTCGCTGTTTTTGGGTGCATTGAAAATTGGAATTCGCCCACGTAATATGCGTGTATATCAGTGTATATAAACTATGATATAAAAACGTAATGTAAAAATGAATGATCGTGAATGTATCTCGCAGTTTGCTTGTGAAATGTAGTGAAATACGTTGTTTGACATATCACTCAAGAAAGGTTTTTTTTATCATGAATAATTGATTGCGTTCTTTATTGTTGATTGATCACCCGATAAAATTTTCATGAAAAATTCGTTGAACCATTCAATTTTCTTCCTAATTTTGATGGTAAATGATGTGAATGTATTGTCTGTCGTCAAGATGCAAGGGTGCCGTCACATACAGTTCGCAATCTGTACCGGATGTCCGCAAAAGCATCTAGGGATTGCGTATGTACGGCAGATATTTCTCACGTAATCTGCAACTACGCGAGAGTTTTAGTGCAATCTAGTGCACATCAGAAAACAGATCATTTGTTGTATTTGCACTAATAACATATTCAAAGATTCATTATGCACTTCTAATTTCAAAATTGTTGTCAAACAAATTAATCAGTATTTATAAATTAAAGGTAGGTTATGGCACGTTTATTTTTGTTTGACGTCGGAGCAATTCCGTTGCGTGCTTACAAGCCGCATAATGTGGACGTGTAATATGTTTTATTTAAGAAGTTATTATGTTCATTTTTATTTTATTTTATAAGAAAATTACAGAATATGTTTTGATTATAACAAAAGTTTTAATTAAATCGTCAAATTTAGTTAAATAGATAAAATTAGGAAAAGCATTACTGTAATAACTGTAGTAATTTTTACGGAAATTTCATGGGATTACGGCTCCATGAGACACAAGGAGGTAAAACACA